AGAGAAAATAGTTGTTTTAATTTGTAATAAAACTTCACAGTATTACTTTTATTTGTTGTAGTTTTGATTAAAAAAAACAGCCTTGGTGAGCATAACAGACTTTCGGTTTTTGAGGTTTGGACATGTTTGTGGTGTTTATACAGTAATTAACGTAAACTAAAATTGACATTATGAATATATATTGCATTTCAGTACATTGATGCATGCCACAATACAAATCTTAATTTTCCTTACAAATATGTTCTAAATTCTGGAAAGCTTTCATCAGATTTACACACATACATGATATTTTTGTATTAGATCCAATTATTTTCACATTTATATTATAAATTAGATTACACTACAAACACCTCCAAATTTCAAAGAAAAAAGTCTCTTATGCTCAGGAAGGCTGTATTATGATTTTAAAAAATACATAAAAATAAAAAACAATAAAAACTATATTGTTAAATATAATTACAATTCATATTTTTATTAATGCTTTGGAAATGTAATACTTCTTTTTGCTATACAAATAAAGCTACTCTTTGATATCTTTAGATTCCCGTTTTAATGGCGCCTTCTAATCGACAGAGATGTAACTACTGGCTTCATTATAATGGCGCTACATGCTTCCACCAACAGGTGGAGCCATCAGACAGGCTACAAATGAACGTTACTACAGCTATATCACACATCGGGTCTTTAAACACTCACCCTGCATACAACCTCCATACATGAATCAGTCTTGATCCTCACCGAGCTTTAAGTAAACGTTCTTTATTCCCAGTTATTTTAATTACAGTAGATTTACTCTGTGCATAGGAACTGGTTGTTAGACATTCCTTTAAAAAGTATAGGCCTACATTAATATAGTTCAGAAAGACAAGAAAAAAAAAATGTATATGCTATTGCAATGTATATATTTAATTAGTAAATTAATTCAAATCAACATAATATCACTCATAAATTACATCAATATTACAAAATCAAAGAGACATGGAAATAAGAGAAAATACAATGTGGTCAATCATAGAAAGACATTGACAGAACAGATGCACATTGCTGGAATCAAATATGAGCATTGTTACTGTAAACACAAGGACCTGAGGTATAAAATCTCCTTACTAAGCAAAAGTTTACAACATCAATTACTTAAATAATAAAAAAAAACAAGTAGGATTAAAAAAGGCAAACCACCCATGATGTCAACATCATATTCTGTATCACAAATGCTCTTTGTAAACAAAATATTTCAAAAGGTTCACAGATTTGTGTGCGTCAATAACATAAAAGTATTTAATAATTTAACCTCTTACCACATTCTGAGGGAAATGTGTGCAGACTCATCATCTGAATTAATTCATTATCAAAAAGAACTAAAAAGATAAAATAACTTCAAGAACATGAGTTAAGGCAATCATAAAGAGGGCACACAAGGGCAAGCTCGAATAATACATGCCAAGACAGTTTCAGTCTAGTAATTTGCAGCACAGTTGTTACACTTAAGCCACGGCTCAATGATAAGCACTTCATTAATATATAACAAATGAACTTGATTAATAGGTTCATCTCAGAGAAACAAATGCAAAGAATCACACTGGCATCGAAGTCAGGATCCAGATATGTCAGTGGACGATGCAGTCTCTCATTGCACGTCGATCACTAAAGTGTAATTTTATCCCACCATTGTAATGCATTGATTGGTCAGTTCAATTACATACTCTTCTTTTCGAGAGCAGCATTATTATAATATTTACTACAGCAGATATACTGTCTAAGATGTTGTGAGTTTATGCTTCTGAGCAATAGTTTCTAAACCGTTTCATAACCTAGTTGTCTGCTTGCTTGTTGCCATAATATCTAACGTTCTGATTGGTTGACTTGACTAGGTAGGAGGACCTCCACTGTGAAGCTGACCGTTTTGGACTGGAAGATGCTGTATGTGTTGTCAAATCGCAGTACGTCTGAATAAAACAAAATACAGTAAAGCCACATGAACGTTTAATATTCATCTCAATTAGTGATATCAAATGAAGCCTGTAAGGCTGTACTTACACACTCCTGGTTCTGGGCAGGTGAGGGATCCGTCCTCGGGTACCAGGTGTGCGTTGTAACGCTGATTTGGCACAACTTCCTTCATCTCACTAGCCTTTATCCACTCTCCCATCCTCTTCTTCATATAGACACCGAAACCTATGTCGGCACCATCACAGTTGAACTGCCATCTGAAGAGGAGACCATTGAATAGAGTAGAATCACACACAGAAGTTCCTGTACTGAAAAGCTCACAAGCTCACACTCTCGCATCCAAATCCAGGCCTTTCAAAGGTGTGCCAACAAAACCCAATGTTAGTAAACCCAAATGCACGTCCCATGCAGAGATTCTTGCTGGTTTGTTTACAGCACCTTTAATGTCATGAACACTGACTGGTTCGTGGCGAACTCCATGTCTGTTATCAGTCTCAGAGAGTGTGTTTTTGTGTGGTATTAGTATTAGAAAGCGTGTTTGTGTTTCCTCGGATCACCTTAGTGCACAGTTTGGTGCAAGTAGCTCATATTCCACCTGATGAGATGAGCCACGGCCAATAGTCACACACTGATCATAGTCCACTTTAATGGAGTCTCGAACATAGTAGGTCTTGGGAATCTCTGATCCGAACGTAATCTGAAAAAACCACAGAAACCTTTGTTTAACATGTGCTTGGCTGAGATGAGTTGGTAATGATTCATCAGAATTGAAAATGAAAATAAAAAACAAAGGAGGATGAAACTTACAGAAGCATCATGAGTGCGAAAGATAAAAACCTGACATTTTAACGTTAGTAAAGCATTTTATGGAAAATAAGGAAACAGAAAAAAAAAACAGACAGGACAGCAGCCCAACTCAAAGTGGCTTTTAATAAAGAACACAAACATGCACTGTTTGAGATTCATTATCCTACATATAGGCTGAGTATTCTACCATGAAGCTTAAAGAGAAAAATGTTGCAGTATTACAGACTGCAGATGTGTTCGTTTTATTTCTTTTCATGTGCTCAAAATCCAGTAAAATACAGAAATAAGAGTCTAAATTGTCACTGAATACAGTAAGAAAACAAACAAACTTGACAGCATAAACATCAGACACTTTATAAAGAGTTAAGGTCACGTTGTCTGGAGTCACAGACTCAAATATAAAGATGTTGGTTGAGAAAAGGTGTATCATTCAAAATGATGCACTATTATTTTCATACACAGAAACAAATTTAGACACTCAAAATCACAGACAATACTTCATATTCAATGACTCAACGTATTAAATCCCAATTCACATACTATTAGTGCATCCCAAATAAGGTGCATGGATGGTATATTATTTCAATATAATATAATATAATATTTACTGTTCAATAGTTTGGGGTCAAGTCATTTTTTTTAAAGAAATTAATACTTTAATTCAACAATGATTCATTAAATTGATCAAATTTACAGTAAAGAAATGTATCATGTTACAATTTATAAAACAGTAAAAAATCCTGAAATATATCACAGTTTCACACAAAACTATTAAACACTACAACTGTTCTTAACTGTTATAATAATAAGAAATGTGTCTGGAACATCAAATTTCGAAAGTAATTGCTGCTGAAAATTCAGCTTTGACATCAAAGGAATAAATTAGATTTTAAATTATATTCAAATAGAAAAAGTTATTTTACTGTACTTTTGTAGACTAAACAAATGCAGGCTTGGTGAACATTAGAGACTTTCAAAAACATAAAAAAAAATCTTTCTGACCAAAAGTAGTGTAATACAAATAATGATGGATAAAATCTAGTCTTATCTTATTTTTGTTATTGTTGAATAGTCTATTTCATTCAGAAATGTGTCCCATAATGAAAATAAAAAGATTACTGAATGTCTTTTATAAAGTTGATTTTAGGTAAAAGTAACTGAATTTAATGAGTACAGGAATATATTTAGATGCTAACACTTACATGCAAAACATGGAAATGTGGTATCAAGACAGATTTATCAGTATGGCCCAAAACTGTCATAGCATCTTTTTACATACTCAAAAGCACATATTTTTGGAAGGTGTAGTAGAAGCATGTGAATTGGGATTTAGCCACAATTGCTTTACTCTCTCAATAAAACAGCCTTGTGTAAAGACATTCCAATAGAAGCCTGTTGTTCTGTGATTTGCGTAAGTCTCAACATGTCATTCAAACATGTAATGACTCCATCTGTGCTCATTAGTACAAACAGCTCCTTCTTGTGTACTTGCATCTGTCCCCCTTTAGCGATTTTCCCATGAAGGAAGTGCTCTGGTTTTCATTAAGGTTAATTACAGTTTTGATAGGCAAGGAAATTGCCGTCCATTTGTCATACCAGTGGAAAAACAAGCACTCTAACTCTCTTTAAGACAAGATAAACAATCATTATCTTCAGCTCTCTAGCTTTAAGCACAGTAAACAAACATTTATTTGACTTGTGCAATATCACAGTCCAACAAAGACTCCTAGGATTACAGTTAATAAATATTTGTAACTAAATAACTAAATATCAGTCCACTTTGAGAGTTCACAAAGTCTTCTGAGGTTTTTTTTTTTAGCACTTCCAGTCCTGAAGAGGGCAGCAGCTTTACCTGTGTATCTACATACAGACACAAAACGCCTCAGTTCAGAACTCTGAATGTGATGTGTTTTAAATCCTACATCTCCACTAGCACAGAATTATTTTTGGAAACAGAAATTTAACCCTGTGGTGGTCTTTGCTCATTTTAGATTGAAAAAAATGTTTATGTAGGCTAATTAATTAATTTGTGATTTTTGAGACACTTGCTATATAAACACACAAAAATTAATCATGGACATGATTAGAAAAGGCTAAGAGAGAGAGAGAGAGAGAGCGAGAGAGAGAGAGAAAGAGAGAGAGTGAGAGAGAGAGAGAGAGCGAGAGAGAGCGCTCTCTATATATTAGCTGGAAGCAACAGTTTGAAGTTAAAAACACCTTGATGAATTTTTAAATTACAAACATGCAGCTTTTCACTTCACAAGATGTTAATTGATGGACTGGAGTTGTGTGGATTATTGTGATGTTTTTATCAGCTGTTTGGACTCTCATTCTGACGGCACCCATTGACTGCAGAGGATCTGTTGGTGAGCAAGTGATGTGGTGCTACATTTCTCCAAAATTTGTTCCATTGAGGAACCAAACTCAACTACATCTTGGATGGCCTGAGGGTGAGTAAATTTTCAGCAAATGTTCATTTTTGTGAACTATTCTTTAAAAAAAATAGTCACACTTGTGATCCTGAAATAAATCCTGCATTACTTAGATACAAAAATACTAAATATTACAGAATAAACAGTATTGAAACTAAATAGTGTACATAATTTCATAAAAAAGTACCATTATTATCTGTCATGACTGCCAAGGAGCACAAGTGTGACCCCTAAGTGAGCAGTACCATAGGGTTAAATATGTCCTGTATGTCCGTTTGACAGGGTGCTTTTCAAGTGCCAGCGCCGCTGTCATAACAGCCCTTTGCTCTTCCCATTTAGGATTTATCACAAACAGAATCATATCCACAATGCTTTGACAGATTGGAGGGGAAGATTAGTCATGTCATGCGCTCCAAAGCTGCAACCTTGCCAGCCGATCAACTGAGTAATCAGCTTATGCAATAACCAGTGAAGCAATCCAACAAGCTCTCGTCCAGATTACACCACACATGGTATCAAGTGTATCATAAAGAAATGTATAATGTTTTGCAATCATAAACCAGTATAGATAAACAACCATTTGACAGCTATTCCACCCCTCTGTTGATCTGAGACACTATTAGACACTAAAAATACATCTATAAGGAGGTTTTCAGAGCCAACAGGCTGACTATGTTCCTATACTATGCTTCCTGGTATTGCTAAATTATGTGGGTTTACTGATGCAAGGATAAGCAAGAAGCTCCTTTAGGTTTGAACTAAATAGGCGAATAAGCAAATTCAAAGCATTAAACTGAGCAACACAGAGCGGGGAGAGAACAGGTGGACTGCAAATCTTCATTTACATCTGTCATTGTTTCATAAACTGAAGGAAAAGTATGAGATACTGAGATACTCATACTGATTAAAGTATGAGATGGATGCTCTATGTCAATCAAGAAAGTCGGTTTTGCACATGGGTTAGACCTCAAGATTCATGAAACGGAAACTACTGACTAATTCTCATGTGGTTTTCGCAACTTCCTTAATATCTTCAGCGTCATTCCATTTAAACTGAAAGAAGAAATCTAGGTTTAGTTACAGCTAAACATTACCTTGTTAACAAGTCAACGTCACTTAGCCAACATTAGCATGATACGTGCTCTTTGTTTCTTTCTCACCCTGGTTCTACATCTGGGGTCACCATCAGGGTCGGTCAGTTTGCCTCCATAGTACACTGGGAGCTCTTCAGGGTCGATGTATTTCTGTAAAACCTCCTGCCAGCTTGCTGAGGAGACAGACACAGAAGCTTAATGATAAAATGCATTTGTGTGAAAACATGACTTATGTCAAACATCTGGATGGCAGCTGTGGGTACTAATATTCTGGGTTTATTTTTCAACCTAATGTCTATGCACTTCTGTTGAGCATTTCGACTCTCAGCGTTTAAACACAAAAACGGGAAACACACTTACAGCAAATAATTCAAATGGAAAATTAGCAAGTGAATTTTTTAACAGGAGTAGCTGTAGCTAGTAATTTACTGTAAACACATGTTTGAGTTGAAATTATAGTCTATGGTAACTGACAGGATGTCAAACATACAGTACGCAGACAATCAAGATGAAAAACACAGAATATTGCTTTAGGAAACACCCCAGCTACTCTGTCAGCTAAAGATATTTGCAAAATTTTCCACCGAAATGCATTTAGATTTAGCTGAATGATCTGAAAACTGCAGATCAGTACGGGAATTTGTCTGAAAAAGTTTTATGAATACAAGTGCACATTACACATTTTCCATTTTAAAATTCCATACTCTTCCAGACTGTAGATTTTGCAGACAATATTTCATAAATGGTATTAAAAGCCAACTGTTCTCATGAATGTTATACTCTGACTATGTATGCTATTATGTTGCCAAGTAATTGCTGTAATGTTATATGCATTCGGGGTGGGCGATATGGCAAAAATATCATATCACGATTTTTTTCAAGAAAATCACAATTTATGATTTTATCACGACTCTTTGTCTTGTTGTTTTTACTATTTTGCAAGTTGTCTGAGGAGTACAGCCAAACTACTGTACTTCCCTATTTTAAAAACAAAGCCTTACAGGGTAATAAAATATAAAATAAAAAAAGAATGGCAGATATTTAGGCCAAAGTGGGCGGGGATACAAATCTTTGTCATTTTATCTTTGTTATTAAAAAATAAGAACAAAGATACCTATTACAAATACACATAATATCCAAATAAAACAAACATTGCTTTATTTTTCAGGTACAGTGGGTGTATTTAACAGTAGCGTTCAAGAAATTGAATGGACAAAATGAATAAATGAATGAATAAAAATAAAACACTATATACACTTCACTGTATAAATTATACATCGATTCTAATTAAAGCAACTTTTTTCTTTGTGTTTTGTTGTTTTATTAACATTAAAGGGATAGTTCAGCCAAAAATGAAAATTCTGTCATTATTTACTCACTCTCAAGTTGTTTTAAACCTGACTTAGTTTCTTTCTTCTGTTGAACACAAAAGTTATTTTGAAGAATGTGGGTAACCAAAGAGTTGCTGGTCCCCAGTGACTTCCATAGTATTTTTTTCCCTACTAGCAAAGCCAGTGGGGACCAGCAACGGTTTGGTTACCCACATTCTTTAAATTTTTTTTTTTATTTTTTCATTCTTCTTTTGTGTTCAGTACAAAAAGGAAATTAATACAGGTTTGGGACAACATGAGAGTGAGTAAATAATGAGTGAACTATCCCTTTAATGACAAGCGGCAGCACGTTTAGTACAATTAGTCTGCTGTCGCTTTAAGACACGCATCTAATATACAGGCACGCATCCGTTTTTCTCTCAACTGTTTACTCTCACTTACTCTCACATAACCAACTGTGTTTATATGTAAACCTTGTGTGTTTTTGACAGTATTAGCACAATCAGACGTGAAAGATAACTTAGTCCAATAATCAGGCACTGTTTGACAGGCTTTTTAGTGTGCGCACATGCAAATAATGTACTTTTATGTACTTTTGTGATTGTGAATAAGTGCAGTGTCCTACCGCTGAGTTAACATATGTGACCCTGGACCACAAAACAAGTCATAAGGGTCAATTTTTTGAAATTGAGATTTATACATCACGTGAAAGCTGAATAAATAAGCGTTCCATTGATGTATGGTTTGTTAGGAGAGGACAATATTTGGCCGAGATACAACTATTTGAATATCTGGAATCTGAGGGTGCAAAAAAATCTAAATATTGAGAAAATCGCCTTTAAAGTTGTCCAAATG